TCAAAAATTTAGAGTTATTCGTTGTGAATTTTTATCCCCACCATTAAGGTAGTTGTATCGCGACAGTATTAGTCAAAAATAATGGTCACACTGCATACGATAATGTACGGAAAACTCTACTTATCTATGTAAAACTTTTGACTAAACTGTACCATTTTCAACCAATCCTGTATGGTCTTACCAATCTGGCAACACTGTATGCTCGCGACTCGCGTCAGTAATGTCAGTATACCATTGAGGTTAGCTCGCGATGCTCGCGTTATTGAGATTATTGAGGTTATGCTATTGAGGTTATTTTGAATTAGAAGAAATATAAGCGAAAATGTCTGTTGTACGTTACAAAGGAAGATTAATGAAAGAAAAAGTATTGAAGAAAAGACTTAAAGCTTTAGCGGCAATGTCTGAAGCAAAGAAAAAGAAAAAGTCCTGTCAAGAAGACAATCATTTATGTGTTGGAAGACGTATTGTAGAAGTGTCCGAGCTTGCCAAAAATCTAACTTGCTGTTACTGTGAAAAAGATCTTTCACTTAAAAATGTAGTAAACGAAAGACGATTTGGTTTAAATTCAATTTTAAAAGTACGTTGTCGGGATTGTTCTACATTTACAGATGTTGCTACAGGAAAAATTCATACATCAAAAGATAACTCTAAACACAGTGATGTAAACACAAAAATTGTATTAGGTAAGTTATAGTCAATACATTTTTTCCATTTGCAAACATTGTATCTATGTAATTTTTATTAATTATTACATAATTTATCAAAATTAATATGTTGATTTAAACTTCTAACTTATAAATGACAGGAGCTGTACACGCTGGAGTTGGGTGCTCGGGTATAAATAAAATACTGGCTTGTATGAATATACCATCTATAACACCAAATTTATTAAAAAGATATGAACGAGAAGTTGGACCTGCAATAGAAGAAGCTGCTAAAGAGAGTTGCAAGCAGGCTGCAAAAGAGGAACGACGATTAATTGTAGAAAATGTTGAAAAGCTCTGTCAAGAACTGTAAGATTTTGTTCTTTCATTTTTATTTTGAATAGAAAAACAGGAAGACAAAAATATGTTTTCTATAAGTGTCTTATACATATGTGTAATAATATGTAATAATATGTGTCTTATGTATATGTTAGGTATACGTAATTGATAATTATCAAACTTAATTGATATGTATTAATAATAATAAAATAATTGATAATTATTAAACTGATTTGTATATGTATTAATAATAATAAAATAATTGATTATTATTAAACTGATTTGTATATGTATTAAAATAATAAAATAATGTATTAATAAATCTGATTCTTTTTTTGTCAATAGGCCAGACGAAGTAGCTCACGAAATTTACTCTAATTTGATACCTTTAAAACCTGCATCCAAGGATGCAAATCTTTATATTTCAATGCAAGAGAGCTCTACGCAGTCCGTCCTACCACCAGTAATATCGTCAGAAAACACTTTTCCTCTAAAAAATCTTTGTACACCTAATTATAACAATGTAGATACTAATTTGGACGTAAATAATTTTGACGCAGCGATAGGTAATATTATTAACATAATCGTCTCTTATGACATGGGCTGGAGTAAGCGTGGGAACGGAAGAAGCTATGATAGTCTAAATGGTTATGGTGCCATAATTGGTTTTTTGACTGGAAAAATTCTAGACTTTAGAACACGGAATCGAAAATGTAAATTATGCGATAAGGGCCGAGAAAGAAAAAACCATGATTGCCGATTAAATTTTTATGGAAGTGCTAAAGCTATGGAAGCTGATGTAGGTGCTGAGCTTGTAAATGAAAGCACTATTTTAAAAGAAACAGGTCTAAACGTTCGAGTGTTGATCGGCGACGAGGATAGTTCTACAATCGCAGCCGTTCGTCGTGGAAATGACGAAACAATATTCAAGTTAGCCGATAATAATCATCTTAAAAAACATTTTTCAAAAGATTTATACGAACTGCAGAAAACATTTAAAGAAATGAAAAAACGTGATGTAATTCCTCATTTGAAAAAATGTTTTAACTATGCTGTAGCACAAAACAAAGGAAAAAGTGTAGAATTAGCCAGTACTTTACGTACAATACCTGATCATGTATTTGGCAAACATGAAAACTGCGGCGCATGGTGTCACCGCGATTCCAATGACAGTATATACTAATACTCAAAAACAGACGATATTATTGAAAGATTCTAAATTATATACAGCATTATGTGCTATTTTTTCAAAATATGCTGATAACTCTGCAAAATTCTCAGTTGCTGCTAGCAGTCAAGCGAACGAAAGTTTGAATAACATTATGGCACATAAAGCTCCAAAGAATAGATGTTACAGTTTGAGTGAATCAGCTGATTTTCGTTGGGCGAGTGCTGTTTGCGCCAAAAACGATGGACAACAATATTTGCCTCGTGTTTCAGCTAAATTATGTATTTCGCCCGGTAAACATATGGAATCTTTTGCTATAATGCAAGATAAACAAAGAGCACGAAGAGCTGAGTTAGCAAAATTACAAAGTACAAAAAGTCGTCGTAATTTAATGAAAAAAATGCGAGAAAATTTAAGGAAAAGAACAGAAAGAATTGAAGGAATACAATACCTGCCAAACTGTGGTCTTGAAATAGATGCTGGAAATTCAGACAGTGTAGATATCAATAATGAAGTAAACAAGACAAATATAGCAATCGATTCCTGTAAAATAGTTTACTTTGATTTAGAGACTACCGGTTTTGAGAACTCTGCGGATATTTTACAAATTGCTGCAAAAACAGAAGGTCGCACGTTTTCAGTATACATTGAACCTACAC